AGGGTTCCTTAGTTGCAGTTTGCCAGCTCCTTAGTTGCGGCATTTGGGCTCCTTAGTTGCAGCACGTGGGGTCCTTAGTTGTGGCATGCAAACTCTTAGTTGTGGTATGCCTGTGGGATCTAGTGCCCTGACCAGGGATCGAACCCGAGCCCTCTGCATTGGGAGTGCGGAGTCTGAACCACTGTGCCACCAGGGAAGTCCCTCCAAAAATATTTTTTTTTGTTTTTTTTTTTTTGTTTGCTTGTTTGTTTGTTGCGGTACCGCGGGCCTCTCACTGTTGTGGCTTCTCCCGTTGCGGAGCACAGGCTCCGGACGCGCAGGCTCAGCGGCCACGGATCACGGGCCCAGCTGCTCCGCAGTATGTGGGATCTTCCCGGACCGGGGCACAAACCCGTGTCCCCTGCATCGGCAGGCGGACTCTCAACCACTGTGCCACCAGGGAAGCCCACCTCCAAAAATATTTTGAGGTAACTGTATTGCCAAAGAAATTATGAGCCCAAAAGAAAAAAGAAAAAAGCTTTGATTACCTAAATTTAATATGAAACCTCAAGGGACCCTGAATAGACAAAACAGTTTTGTACAAGAAGAATAAAATTGGAGGTCTCATACCTCCTGTTTTCAAAACTTACTACAAATCTACAGTAATCAAAACAGTGTGGTACTGGCATAAAGGCAGGCATATAGATCAATGTAATAGAATAGAGAGCCTAGAAATAAACCCTTGCATATATAGTCAAAAGATTCTGACAAGACCTCCAAGCCCTTTCAATGGGGGAAAGGACAGTCTTTTCAATAAATGGTGCTGGGAAAACTGGATATTCACATGTGTAAGAATGTTAGACCTGGGCTTCCCTGGTGGCACAGTGGTTAAGAATCCACCTGCCAATGCGGGGGACATGGGTTCGAGCCCTGGTCCGGGAAGATCCCACAGGCCGCGGAGCAACTAAGCCCATGCGCCACAACTACTGAGCCTGCGCTCTAGAGCCCGCGAGCCACAACTGCTGAGCCCATGTGCCACAACTACTGAAGCCCGCGTGCCTAGAGCCCATGCTCCGCAACAAGAGACGCCACCGCAATGAGAAGCCCGCGCGCTGCAGCGAAGAGTAGCCCCTGCTCACCACAACTAGAGAAAGCCTGCGTGCAGCAATGAAGACCCAAAGCAGCCAAGAAAAAAAAAGGGGGGGCAAAGGGGGACTTCCCTGGCAGTCCAGTGGTTAAGATTCCGTGCTTCCACTGCAGGGGACGCAGGTTCATCCCTGGCCAGGGAACTAAGATCCTGCATGCCACGTGGTGAGGCCAAAAAAAATAAATAAATAAAGGGCAAAGGATCTGAATAGACATTTCTCCAGAGGTATACAAATGGCCAATAAGCACATAAAAAGATGCTCAACATCACTAATCATTAGGGAAATGCAAATAAAAACTACAGTGAGATACAACTTCACACCCACTAGGATGGCTAGTATTTTAAAAAAAAGAGAAGAAGAAGGAAAAAAAACGAAAATAAGTGTTGGTGAGGATGTAGAGAAATTTGGATCCTTGTGCATTGCTACTGGGAATACAAAATGATGCAAATGCTGTGGAAAACAGTATAGCAGTTCCTAAAAAACAACAACAACATAGAATTAACATATGATCCAGCAATATATACTTCTGGGTATATACCCCAAAGAACTGAAAACAGGGACTTGAACAGGTATTTGTACACCAGTGTTCATAGCAGCATTATTCGCAATAGCCAAAAGGTGGAGCTATCCAAGTATATCCCTCAACAGATGAATGGATAAACAAAATGTGGTATATACATACAATGGAATATTATTCAGCCTTAAAAAGAAAGGCAATTAAAAAATTTTTTTTATTGACATATAGTTGATTTACAATGTTGTGTACAGCAGATAATATTTATTTCTGGTTTTTTAATGACGACGATAACAATGATGAAGATGATGATAAAAAATAGCTACCATTCATTAAGTTCTTACTATGTGCTACGTGCTATGCTAGTGCTTTATCTAGTGCTTTATCTCATTTAATCTTCGTAACTACTCTGTGTGATAAGTGATGTCACCCCCATTTTAGAGATGAGAAAACAGGTTTAGAGAAGTTGAGTCACTTGCCCAAGGTTTTACAGGCCCTCCTCTCTCTACATTTTTTCTTTTTGACAATCTCATCCAATATCATGGCTGCTATAATTATCATGTCTGTGTGGATGGCTCCCTGACCCCTCTCCTTGTCTCCTGGTCCACATTTCCTGGCATATGAATGTGCTGATGGCATTGTAAACTCAACATGTCCCAAATGCAGCTATTCTTTTGTTAGTACTGTTCTAAACATTTTTCATTTAACTCACATAACTCTGAGATAGATAATATTATTATTCATATCTATGAGGTAGATAGTGTTATCCATGTTTTACAGATGAGTAAACAGAGGCCTAGAGATTCAGTACCTGGCTCACCTTTACACCGCTAGTACACAGTGGAGCTGGGCTCGGGGCTGATTTCAATGCTTAGACCACAATAAAGACAATACCTCAGTTCCACTCAAACTGAGCTCTCCCTGTCCTGTTCTGTTTCCTGCTTCCTATATTCATTCTCTGCCCTTAACTTCAAATCCTACTGTCCTTCAAAGTCCAACTCAAAGGCCATTCCCTACAAAGTCTTTTCAAGTATTCCAAGCTGGGAGGGATCTCCATCTTGTGTGAATTTACAGAGAACTTACTCTGTACCACACTTACCTATTCCCAAGCATACAAGTACAATTTTAATTCATCCTCACCATAAAAAGTTCAAGTAGAGAATATTGAGCAAGAAGTTTAAGTATCTCTTCATTCCCCAGAATTTATTAGTTTTCTCCCTGATTAACGTTCCTGTGTTTCTGCTAGAAACTCTATTAGGCAGCTATTTGACGACAGGAAGCAGGGCGAGTCTTCTTTAGTCCCCTAAAACAGGCAATACTAAACAATTACTGAAAGAATCAATCAGTTGCAAATCCCATGAGCCTGCACACACTACATTTTTTGAAGGAGGGTGAGAGGGTCTGTTCAAGAAAAGTGATTTTTTTTTTCAGGGGGACTGGTAAAGCGATGTCAAACGCTCCCTCTCCTCCCACCTTCATTAAAGAACAAAAAAGCATCTACTTCTAGGTACATAAAGCGTCTGGTTTCTGTTTTAGCTGGGTCTCAGAAGGAAATGACTTTTCTCTGAAATTGTAGACGCCCAACCCAGCTGCAGCATTGTTAGACCTCAGGGTAAACAGGAAGCTTCCTGCCTTGGGCCCTTCATATACCTCTTGAAGGCTATTAAAGACTGTTAATAGGATAGTAAAAGGACAGCTGCTGGCCATAAAATCAGCCCATTCCTTAGCTCCTTAGAGAACTAGATCCCTCCAAGGTCAGAGAGAAAACTGTGTCCATCTCCAGGTCACACCAGGTATGTCCACCTAGCTGGGGTCCTCACTTAACTCCTCTATGATCGGCTGTAACCAGAATGGTCTTTGCAAAATACCAGAGTGATTTAGTTCCTTGGTATTAGTTGAGAAATGAGAGGTTCGCATTTATAGGGTTTCCGGTCCTTGAAATCACTTGTTTCTGGGGGTGACGAGGTCTAGTGTGAACGTTAAGCTGAGACTGCCAAAGCAGTGAAATCACCCCCTACCCTGCGGAGTTTGAGTCTCCTCTTCCAGTAGGGAAACAATCAGTTCTGATTATCCCCCGCAAAAGAGGCAAAGAGGTCAATCCATGAGAGCAAACAATCTAGTACTCCTACCTCTGCAATAAAGAGCTGAAGCAGGCCCTCAACGCTTCCTGCACACAGGGTGGAAGTCCCCAGATTTGCAGCTGTGGGTGAGGAGGGAGGGAACAGTTTCTGCCAACTGGAGGGACACTAGGGCAGGGGTGATCATCTTTTGCCAAGAAGGGCACTCGGGTGTCTTGGCAGAAGGCAGAGGGCTGTCCCGATCTGTGTGTACATTTTCAGAAGCATTTGACTCTGGACCAAATTCTCTCAGCTGTGCTAAAGCTGGGGCGATGGATGGGAAATGCGTATTGGCCAGGCTGACTAGGAGCTCCAATAGAGGGTGCTGGGGCTCAGCCAGGAGCTTCCCTTCAGCTGGCAAGTTTAGCTTTCAGTCATGGTCAGAGGGAGCGTGTCAATCCATCTATTTCGACGTTTCTGCTTGTTGGAATTTTTGGCTCAGACAGGGAAAG